TGCTCGCCTTCGTTCATCGTCACCCAGTCCTTGTTGTCCTGCGCCAGGTCGATCTCCTCCGCCGTCCAGAAAGAAGCCTCATGCTTCTTGTACATCTCCCAGACCTGTCCGCGGAACTCGCGACTCGCTCGCTTGCCAAGTTAAGACACTTTGCTCGTGAGAGCTAGGGCCGCTAGGGCCAGGGAACAGACTCAGTGCCCGACTTCCGGGTGCTGCAGCGGGAACATGACCCAGCGGCGAGGGTTCTCCTTGAGCAGGGGGTCGTTCTTCTCCAGCTCTTTGAACTCCTCCGAGACTCGGGTTTTCTGCGCTTTGATTGCATGGGTGTTCGTCACCTCGGTCACCTCCCTCTCTGCCGCGGGGGCCATCTCTGCCTCGTATCCCTGCGAAGCCATTTCCCCGAGCCAAGCAGCCAAGGACGCGGGCAAAGCACGAAGCGCGGCAAATGCCTTGAGCCGAGACCCCCCAAAAGGTGGCCAGATGATCGGCTGCCAGGACACTGTGCTGCCCGGACGAATCTGGAGAAAGCGGGGTTTTGCTTTGACTTGCTTGCTTGCTTGCATGGCGTTTGGGGACAGGGGATACCCCCTGAACCCCTGCGCGCAAGCGCTACGCCCGTGTCCGCGTTCGTCTGTGGGAGTGAAACAAGACCGTCACCCCCAAAACTCGCACGCAAGCCACTCCTTGCCTCGTAGACCTTGACGGGCTCTGTGCGAGTGTTGGTTATGACAGCAGTGTCCCCGCTTTTGCGAGGGCTGGGCAGTGTCTGTAGGTGCCCGTTGCTTAACCCGTTGTCCTCTGTACCAGACCAATCTCAGTGCAAGGCTAACCCCTACAGGTTTGTCCCCGGACAACAGGTTTTTTGGGTCAGGTGCCAGTACTCTACGGTTTGTGGGCGTGTGCTGTGTCAGTGCGGGGTCCCCGGGTACAGGAAGCAAAAGGGGGTCGGGCCAGAAAGAACTAGATTGCTCTGACTCTCTCTCTCTCTCTCGCGCAGATCCGGCCTCGCTCATCGCTGAGCTCGCGTCGAGCCTGGCCGGCAGAAGGCTCGTGGAAAGGACTTCGCTGCTGACCCACGTGCCCTTGCCTTATCCAGGTCGAGCCTGAGACCCCGGACCAGGACACGATGCTCCTCAGAGAAGGAACACGATGCAGGGGCTCTGGCTGACTCTGGCTCTTGGAGTCTGAGCTTCGGGCATCGAGCGTAGAGTGGAGTTTCTGCATCTCCTCCACTCCCCGAACTGCAACGTGTGCCACATGGCTGCACGGCTGCACAGGTAAACTTCTCTCCGTCTCGTTGAGCTTCTGGTCGAGCTCTGCTCTGTGCTGCCTTTGCAGACCGTCGAGGCGTCGAGACGAGTCCACGAGACCCACAGAGCGCCGCTTCGCGGCTTCACGGAGCTCTCGCCTTTCCCGCGCCAGAAGAGATTGAAGCGAAGTCACCTGCACGTTTATCCGTCTATCCATCTTGCAGAGGAGAGGCATGCCTTCAGCAAACACGTCCCACGACCCGCAAGCAAGGGCCAAGCAGAGCCTCCGCTTCCAGTGTCTCCACACGGCGCTGGGAACCCTCGGCGCGCTCCAGCGCCAAGCGCGCCTCCGCCTCCTCAAGTCTCGCACTGGAGCTTTCGGGTGATCTAGAACGGGAGTTGCCGGACCTTGTCGCGCAGCTGGTCTTGCAGCTGAAGCACTTCAAGCTGCATGCTCTCCTGAAAGCGCAATGCGATGCCATGCAACTCTCAGCCCATTGGCAGGATGCTTTTTGACCACGGCACGTGTAGGTCGAGGTCAAGACGCCAAACTCGACTGATGCTGTTTTATGCTGCTTTGGTGTAGAAACAGACGGGCTGCTCGAAACATAAAAAGCAAAAGCGATCTTGACGGCATGTTCTCGGCATCCTTGGCGAGGATTTCGCGTTCGCAGATAGACCGCGCCTGACGCCATGCAAAGTCTCTTTGCAAGCACGAAGGCCGATAGGCACCCGTCCACCCTTACACTGATCTGCCTTCTCGACTTCATGGCCGCGGTCCTGCAGCAAGCTCAATATCAGTACCGGATTCCGTGGCGGCTTGGATGGAAGAGAAGGCCCTCGCCCACCGTCGCACTTATCTGTCCTCCTTCAGCTGCCAATTCTCTTCTCGCGTCTCAGAAAGCTCCCGGCCAAGCTCCTCTCAGATTGAACGTTGAGTTTGGATAAACAGATGCAAAAAGCCATGCAGGAAATGACGCTGCGTTTTGGGAGGCATCTCTGACCAAGAACCCCATAAAGGCGAAGTGAATGTGAAAGCCCCAGTTCAGCACATCGGACTGTACCAGGAACTCTTGGAACTCGCCGTCTGGCAAAACCTGCCCGAGCCTGCAGCTGTTCCTGCAGCCTTTGCCTCTGCTTCCGCAGGGCCTCCACGTCCGTCAGGGCTTTTTGTGCCTGCTCCAGCTTTTGCTACAAATGTGCCTCACTCACGGTCCCCCTGCGGGGCTAAGTCCAGGCCTCCTCTTCGACGGCCTGCGCCGCTAAGCTCTTTTGGCTTGCCTCAGGTGGCCACTTTGGCCAAAGCTTGCGCAGGGAAAGCAGAGAAGCTGAGCGCGCTGGCCGCAGAGGTCTGTGTCTCTAACAATGACAGACGATGTTGCAGCGACTCCTCCGGTTGAGAGGGAGATCTCAAGCCGTGGCCAAGTGATGCCAAGCTACAAAAATTAGAGAAGAGGTGCTGAGGTACTTCGTTGCACTCTCCTGCAAAACGGCTCGTCGGCCCTCTCGGACTCTGACTCTCACAAAAGGGCCTCGTGAGACCGACGCAGTGCGACCTGCCGAGCTTCGAAACTCTGACAGCTAACTGGCCATCAGAATCCACGACTGGTGCCGCATAACGTTGTGAACAACTGGCTGGAAGCCAGCCTCCTGCTCCAATTCTGCAGCTCGCTGCTGCGCGGAGGTCCTCGATGCCAGGTCAGCTCCAACAGATGAGTGCATGAGTTTATTCCAAGGTGGTTCGGTTTATGTCTCTTTCTTCCGGCTTGCCAGGAAGAAACCGACATGTTCACAAGTTGTTTCGTTTGTCGTGCCACCTGGCGAGAGAAGACATCGCTCCAAAGGCGAGACGGCCCTGAAAGAGTTCGAGAAAGCTCTTGGTCCCAGGTACCGAAACATCTCCTGGACCCAGGCATGTCCGGTTTTCGCAGTGTTGTTTGGGAGGCCGTGGTGCGAAAAACTGCAGAGCAGAGCAGACGAAAGCTGGGAAGCAGTGAATTGCAAACACGAGCTGATACTGCCAAGCGAATGCACCGAGCGGCGCGTGGCAAAGATAGCTCATCACTCTGAAGCATTTGTTTACCCTCCTAGAAACTCGGCTTGCCAACAACGAGCTGAAAGAGAAGCCTGCGGCGAACATGAAACATGCTGCTGTCCTCAGTTGTGCAGATGTACGCTGTGGCTATGCTGCAGAATGATAGCAGCTCTGCTGGCCCCTTCAGCTGGAGGGGGGGACCTGCCAGAGACCAGCCTTGCGAATCCAGGGAAGGTGGTTGGAGGGGCCCCCCCCTGCCGACGCTTAGTTCCCTGAGATACCAGGAGCACATGCAGCCCCTCCCACGCGGGCCTTTTTGCTACAAGTACTATACCGGGACGGGGGGAAACTATCTTGCGACCCAAAACAACAACTCCCGCCAGCTCTAAATTGAAGGAGCTGGGTAGGCGTGGCAAGGAGTTCCTACAGGCACGGAGATTGGACGAGCAAGTCGGGAGTCCTTGTCCCTTACTTTCAAAACTAACACGGCCCTCCCCCTTCTGAGGAACTGGGTGCTGGTGACACCAGTTTCTGCCAGTACCTACGAGTCCCAGGCGAGACACACCTTGGGCGACGACTTGTGGCCACGCAAGAATACAGGAACCGAAGGAGCAGAGGAGCCCCTTGTCTTTATAGTTGAAGCACCCTGCATGGATCAGACGAGGCCGCCAAATTTAGATTTGCACATGAGAAGTCACCTGCACTCATCGCTCGCGTCGACCGCGGCCAACCCAAAATCAAACTTGAACAAAGCACCCATGTGTCTTCTTTGCCGTGCGGTGTGTACTATCGATCGGCGGCAGCAGCACATGTAGCTGAAGAGGCTGCCGGGTCCTCGATGCGGTGACCTGCTCATTATTCAGCGGAACATCCCACGGCTGCATAATGCTGTATATGCGCACTCCGACAACATGGCAGGCTTTATGCCCATTCCCCCAACCACTTGCATCATTTTGGGAAGAGCCGCTTAAACGGAGAACATGTTGCCGCCAGCCTCACGCAGCGACTCCCGCTCCTGCTCGGCCTGACAGATGCGTAAGAGCACAGCCGAGACGGATCCCGGACCTCATTTCAAGGCAGTCCCGCCTCTGCCTTGGCACGATCAGCCTCCTCACGGAGCTGTGCCACGAGGTGCCCAGAACGCCCTTGCTGCTCCTCAGAATTGAAAGCAATCATGATGGATCGGCCGCATGCCTCAAAATCTGGTGCTGCGATGCTGGGACGCTGCTAGGAGCTGCTCCTCCAGCGCTTTCGACAGAGCCTGGATGCGGGCCTCCTGGTCATCATAGAGCCTGGCCAGAACTTGAGATCCATCCCCGAATAATTTAGGATAAACTCTTCCTGAAGGTTACATCATACTCGGTTTTCGGGTTTAGGGAAGTGAGAAGTCAAGCAGCTCTTCAATTTTCGGGAATATTCCGCAGGCCTCTGTTTCTGCTCCATGGCCGCGATAGCCCGCTCGTAGGGCTCGAGCCGCAGTTTGAAAGCCTCCTCCTGCCGCTCGAAAACGTCAAGGCAAATTTCAAAGGTCTCGGAAGTGGAGCTGAGGTAAGCTGAGTACACACGATGCCGGCCTGGGCGCGCTGCCTCTCCTCTTTTTCCTCCGCACTCGTGCCGTTGCTTGGCTCTGGTACAGAGACGGCGTCCTTCCATGGCAACGCCAACTCCATCCCAAGACGCCGGCGAGAGGCAGGACAAGTGGCCTGTGCCCGTGCCTGTTGCGGCGTCTGATTTCCGGCACCTGCAAAAAGGCGAAGCGACGAAGCGAGCCCGGAGATGCCCGGTCCCTATACGCCCGGCCTGGCGGCCTCCGCGGGCCGAGCGATCCGGTCGCCCGCAGGGGCCGCAGCTCTCCGCCGGAGCGCTCTCCGCCGGAGCGCTCTCCGCCGGAGCGCTCTCCGCCGGAGCGCCCGGCGCCGGAGCGCCGAGGCCTTCGCGCTCGGGCTTTGGGTTTAGAGGCCCGCCGCGTGCAAGCGCCTGCGAAGCCAAGGGTCTGGCGCTGTCGAGGGCCGGGAAGCGCCTCCTGAATGGACAAGGGCTGCTCGGACGATTCAGGCATTCATGTTCTTCTTCTGGGTTTCGTGGTGTGACAGCAAAGTCCTAGAAAGCAAGATAAATAACCAGGGATGCATTGCAGCTCTGCCTGCGCTGGGGGCGCTTGTGGAGTGGCCTGAAGTCAAATTGCCTGCACGGCTCACCAGCTTGCATTGCGAGGGCACGTCGCCAGGTGATGCAAGGCGGATGCACCTGGGGCTTGCTCCTGAACCTGAAACAAGTGTCTTGAAGGCAAAGAATTCGCTTCTCGCACTAAAGGCCCGAGTCACGCAACTACAAAGACCGGATTCGTGCATTGGCAGGACACTGTGTTGGCGGATTCGCGCGCGGACTGCTGGCTTCGAGGATTCGCTCGCCAGAGATTCCTACACTCAAAGCGCCGGATTCGGGCATCATCCATTCACGCACTGACCGCGCAGCTTTACCCACGATCGGGATTTATGTCTTATAACAAAGCCATTGAGCCGAAAGAGAAATCATGAGAAAAAGAAGCCTCCCAGTACGAGGCCAAAAACCCATCTGGGTTCACTCACAAAGCACACACAACCCCTGCCGGCAACCAGGAGCTTCAAAGGGTTGCCGGCTGATTCACGGTTGAGACACAGGACATCCAAGCAACCCTAAACCGCCTAAACCTTACAACGGCCTCTAATCTCCAAACACTTCAAACCCTGTAACCCTAAACCCTAAAAACCTGGAGGCCTCAAGCACCGAATAGTAAATGCCAACACTCTGGACATTCTGACTCCCCAAACCCCCAAACTTGCAATGCTCAAACCCTGAACCCAGAACGTCGAATGATTGAGCCGGCTGGTACTTGAATCGCGTGTTCACGTACCTGAATCTGGTTTGCTGCTTGGATCGGCAATGCTCGAACCAGTGGCATGCTTCAATCGCTGGTGCATGAATCGCAGATGCTCCAATCGCAGGTTGTGTCGCGAGCGGAGTCGCATTGCTCAATCGGAGACTGTCAACTCGCGCTGTTATGGTCCATGCCCTGCCTTGGCTTCCAGAGCCGCATTCAGCTGCTGGAGAGCTCTGAGGAGAAAATCCTTCAGAGCCGCTGTGGGCCATCCGAAACGCCAACCAAACATCCGTCCGTCCTGTGCCCGCATGTCTCGGCTTTGCTTGGTCTCTTGACTTGCTGCCTGCCAGTGCTTGACGTTGAGGCTTTGATTCATGGGACCAGGTGCATCCAAGGAGTCACTAGGGCCCGAGGCTCCTGCCTCCGCAGGTACGCTCTGCAGCAGTAGATGCATCTTTGGCGTCTCCTCCAGAACGACAAACACTCTCACGGCAGATTTCATGGCTTCAGCACGTTTCAGCTAACCGTGCAAAGTGGCTGGTCCTCTGCAGGCTTCTCATCCATCTCGTCGCTGCCATCGTCCATGGCATACCAGACGTCCCATACCTTTCAATGAAAGTCTTGTGACAGCCCAGAGTAATTCTTGAGCCCTCCTGCCATTTCTCGCCAGCAGTTTGGGCAAGATCTGTCAGACGGCACGGCCCACTCGGCCTCCAGCGCGACCAGTTCACCGATCGGCACCACAACGATGCCTGCACTTCGAAAGAAAGCACACTGCTATGGTTGATCGTGTCTGCACCCCTGCACCTACCGAGTTGCCCAAAGAATCACGGGCATGCACGTGAATGACGGGCTCGATGCCACCCATCTGACCAGTCACCGTGGGATCATGTTCGTGACTGAGATTCTATATTTTATTCTCCGGGGTCCGTGCTGGCAGTAAGATGTTCTCACCCTCCAGAGTGGACGGAACCTTGCAGCACAAAACGATACTGAACTTTCACGCGATGTCACCAGTCCCCAATATTCACGGCCTTCCTGAAATCTAATGTTCCGATATTGCAATGAACCAGAGCTCAGGCGGGCTGTAGCGACACCCCGTCACTCTCACCAACAAGCCCAGTTCTAAGCTACGGCAACATCCACCTGAGACGGCCACAGGACACTGCGCTGTTGCATCCGCAAGCGTCAGCTGACAGGGAAGCAATCCATCAACTGCTTGAGTATTATGCGTGCCTTGTTGTTTTAGACCACTTCTGTACGTTCGTTGCAAAACTTTTGTGCAGCCGTCGTTCTCATATTGCACTTATGCATAAAGTCCTTTCGACAATATTCCCTTTCGCAAGTGCTTATCGTGTAGCTCTCACTGGCAAGGCTCCAGTGCCTCACAAGACACATCGCTCAGGTCACGCCCGTGGACAACCTCAAGCACATGGACCAAAACGTACCTGGCGAGCAAGCTCTTACACGTTCAATGCTGCTTTTCGCGATGCTTCTAGACTACTGTCAGTGTTGCTGCTACAGATTCTCATGGCGCTGTAGCAGCCAAACCTGCTGCAACTGCTGTCACCACCATCATCAACGATGAGGGCTCTCCCGCTCTCAGACAGCTTCCGGATGCTCACCCAGCCGGGCCCTCGCTCACGGCGACCATTGCGAAGGCTGACGAAGCTGACTTGACAAGAGTCTTTTACCCTAGTTCCGGTCTTGAATTTCCGTCCCAGCATTGACGTAGGCCTTCGGGAAGTGTATTGAATCAGTGCTCAATATTGAACCACCTTGGGCTAGAGTTGGCTTGTTCATGGAGCGACCTTATAGGTACCCTCTGTGTCGTTGTCGGCGGCTGTGTGTGCTCAGACACGTCAAAGAGAGACCACACTGCCACACATGATCCTGACGCTCAGTTGCACCTCCACTTTGCAGAAGACGTGAAATGCACCGCCGCAATGCCGCAACCTCAACTTCTGCCCCCTGTCGCCTAAGCGCAACTCCATTGGCACTCGCTTTGCTTAGCTGCTATGAGCTGTGAGGCTGGGGAAACCTCCTTCATCGCACTTCTTGTGTATCCTGCCGCGACGGACCGGTCCTTACAAGTGCCTTCACTCTGAACTCATCAGATGATCGTTCTCCTGTTTTCACGTCAAGCACGGCTCACTTCGAGCTCCAGGAATCCGCCTAAGAAGTTCAGGAAAGTGTTACACCGCGCAACAACAAAGGCTACGGCTTTCGAGCTCGTAAGTAAAGCGAGGTACAAAGAGTAGGAAAAGCAGCAATGCAAAGCGGACTAACCATTCACTCGCTCAGCTTTTTGTTTCGGCTTGCCGGAAAAACGACTGCAGCTCCAGCGACGGATGACCCGTCCGACCTTTGGTCAAAAGCGAGTTCGAAAGCAGCTGCTGCGCAGTCGTTAGCAAAAGCCCGTATCGTCAGCATACAGTATGAAGCAACAGCGTGCGAAAGGAATACCGATAGGGAAGCAACAGTATGAGAAAGGCCAAAAACCAGTTTTAGCGGGCAGAGCAGCACAACTGAAAAGCGAAAAATCTGCGTGTAGCCCACGGTGAGGGCGGGTGGGAGCGGCCAAAGCAAAAGCGAACAAGCCAAGCAGGCCGGCCTTTCCTCCCTACCGCAACCGCACATATGCTGAAGCTTGGCTGCAGCATAAATGAGGTGCGTGTGGAGAAAGCGTTTAGCCCAAAGTGAAGGTGGGTGGGAAAAATTATCAGCAGCAAGCTACTGTTGTTGCATGCTTGAGCGCAAGCGTTGCGACGGGCAAGCACTTTGCAAAACCACCCTGAGTGAACACAGGAACCGTTCAGGAAAGTGTTCCACCACGCAACAGACAACAAGAATAGAAAACGTTGTCTTCACACACAGAAAGCCACACGAAACCGCTTCAAGAGGGGTTAAAAGCAATGAAAACAACAACAAGTAAACGCCTTGCTTGCTTCCACACACAAAAAGGAGAAAGCCAGACAGCAAGAATAAACAACGTTTTTCAACTAAAAACAAACAAACATCAGCAAAAAAATAAAATTTTGCGAAATTAGCCAAAAGACCATAGAAGACGGAGAAAACCACACAAAAACGCTTCAGGTGCAAGCGAAGAATATATGTTTAAGGCTTGGCTGGTTCGTGGCTGGTTCGTGGCTGGTTCGTGGTGAAGCTGCGTCCCTGGGGCTCCCGTTGTGAAGATGTTCTCTGTGGGTGAGCCGTGACCTTGGCCCAGCCAATTTATTTTGAACGAAGATTTCAGAGGTTCAAACCTGAATTTGGGTTCTATTCGGGTTAAAATCCAAAGTCAGGAAATACAAGATAAAACACCTTCTCCAACAGACAACAAGACCAAAGAACGTCTTTTTTGCACAACAAGGAGAAAGCCACACGAAATTCTCAGCCCGCGCCAATGATCGTGCTCTTCAAGCAAAAGTCAAGCTTTCGACATCTCGCGGCAGGATGACAATCATTTCAACGAGCTCCGCATGCTGTCACGAAGAACGGGTTCTCCACCCGTAGTGGACGGATCCTTCGCCAATTGGAAAACGAGCTACAGAGCGCACCTTCGGTTCTGAAGTCGCAGCTGACACGAGACTCCAGAAAAGGAAAACGTCCAAACTCTTCTTTCGCCCAGTGCTCATACTGGGGAGGCCCGTTGTGGTGCACACGTTTTCGAAGGGTTTTCGGCCTTGAACATGAGCCCGTCAAATCTGTCAAAATGAAGGTCGAAACAAGGTCCGGGTTACTCTGGAGGCTCCCCCCATCCGCACAAAACGGCTAAACCCAACACACAACGTCAAACGCGGGGATTCTAGCTGCTTTTGCGATAATGACAGACAGAACAACTTCATCCTGAACACGAAGCACGCAAAAACCCGAAATACGACTGCATTTGTAGGGTTCCAGTACAAATAGGTTCTGC